TTTCCTTGGGTAGGCAATCCCGCCTCGCCTGACCAGGATGTGATCCTTTGGGGATGCTTTCCGTCCCGTGCATCGTTGTGTGGCTCTAGACGGCAACGCCAGGGAAGTCCCATGTGACAATAATGAAATGATCAGGAAAATAAACTGTTATGGGCGATTAGCTATTAATAATAATTATATTTGGCGACTTTTAAGAAATATGCACCAGCCGGGGTACAAGGCGTTTGGAGCCGAATCGTATTTGTCGTGGGAGCGTCATCGGCGTCCCCGGGGGGCCCGGACGACATCGGCACTACCAGGTTTGGACTCAGCGTGCGAGAAAACCCCCGAACACGATATTTCAGTCGTCCTGGTCGTTCCGAGGTTGACGGTCGGTCGGTCGGCCAAACCGTACCTTATTTTGACAGCCCCCACGCCAGCAGCCAGACTGTTAGATCCGACCAACTGTTGACTAGGGTTCCCAGGTAGAACACAATCGTCAAAAACTCGGCATTGACCCTCACTTGACGTCAAAATAAGCTCATTGTGGCTACCTAGGCGCAGTAAATTTTGACGATCAAGGTCAAAATGAGGCCATTTTGACATCATTTTGACAAACGTGTTCTACCTGGGTTGTCGCCTACCCGCTTATACAGGAACGACGACGCGTCAACCGTCTCACAAACCCCGGGAGTATGTTTTGAACAACTGTGGTTCGGCTGATCCCTTTACGAACTCAGAAGTCGTCCTGCGGTGGGATGAGGAAAGTACTCGGGATTCCCCAATTTTATTTTTATTTATTTTTGTCCGGGTAGGGAAATAGGGGCGTGAGAATTTACGACGCCGAGCGGACTTACTTCTACAGTCGGTTCTGATAAAAGCTGCCGGTGGCCGTGTCGGTTTTAGCTACAACTGTGACCCCGAGCCGTGCGTACTGCGTGGGGAACGCTGGGGCAAGTTGTGGCTGAGGGCGCCTGGAGGGTAGGCAATCAGTACACAACCTGCTATCCCTTAGGTTTGGGGGGACCCCGGGACCCCCTTGTGTTAGTTTAGATGCGTCCAGGCCCTTTCGGCTTGTCAGGAATTATGTGCAGAACAGGTCCCTGCTTTCTGCTTGCACCCTGAAGGCTTCGGATTTCATATTACCCGAAAAAGGGTGTTCTACAGTCGGGCCGGATTAAGCTGACTCTGGCCGCCGGCATTGTGGCCACATTTTTGTGGCCACAAACAGGGACGTTCATGGTTTAAAACCTTCGACGCATTGACATCAGGATGGTGACCTGGCCACTAAGCCGTCCAAACTCCATGATGGGGACATGGTGAAATGACGGGTTTGAAGTCCATTTGAAATTTGGACAAAAGTTTAGGTCGCAGTACAAAAGCTGCCTTTACAGTTTTGTTAATTATAATTTTTAAAAGGGGGTAAGTTTGAAATGGTCTGCTAGTATTCCCTATCAACCCCTTCGAGTAATCGGGTGAGTTGCACGCCCTTATATTATGATCACCATCATCCCGTTCGCCTGATTGATAGGCAACCCATCGCTCCGCTAATTGTGCCAAACTTTATCTCTACAAATTTCTCATCCCCTGAGCTCCAGCGTAGACTCGCTAGAAGCCGAGCTCTGCGATTCGATCGAATACCAATACGAATAGAGGGGTGAGCCGGAACAGTCATTGACAGAAGGAAGGAAAATAAAGAGCATTACTCATTACGTCGACAACAACAAGTCAACCCATTATTTCAAATTCGCTTTATCAGTCTTCGCACCAGATTTAACATGGAAAAGAGCATCGAAACTTGTTTAGCCGAAACGTAAGTGTACTTTTTTCTCATTAGTGTCATTAGCTTTCATCACCTGTACATGTGTACATTATAGGTTATCTGTCAGTGACAATTGTTTCTTTTTAAAAAAAATTTGTCATCAGCCAACTGCATAGCCACTGAACAAAACCAATAATTCTCTTTTTTCGGATATAGCTGTTCGAAGGATGGTGTAGTTGGTAGTATCATGTCAGATCAGCAAGGACTCTGCCTTGGAGGTATGTATTAGTCATTGCTCAAACGGGTTACATCTATCTGTACTAGAAAGATTTCGGAGCTTGTTGACTAACGACAGTAAATCTTTTGTTTCCTTTTATCCCAAAGTGAAGGGAAGAGCAAGTATTGAAAGCTCTGGAGTTGTCACAGCGATTGCAGATCAGGCAGCCAAACTGGAACCTAACAGCCAAAACCCCATCATTGTTTTGGAAAATGATACAAAGTAATTGTTCAGGCCTCATTTTATTATAGTCTTGAAATGCTTTTCAGCTGATTCTATTTTCTAATATCTTATGTTTATTTACAGTCAATGCTTGATTCAAAGGGCAGAAAGAGCCACAATTGCCATTTACAAAACCAGCAATCTGGCCAACTAAAAATAAAACTGTGATTAACAAATTTCAACTATTACTTT